AATGATCTATGTATGATATTCCAAATTAAAAATTTGGGATGTTACATCCGGCCAAAGGATATAGTCCGGCCGTCCGGAGACCCCCTAAACCAGGACTCCCTCAGTCTACAAGATTAGACTTCTAATTAGACGGGTTCTCTCCAATTTAATTGGTCCAATAAAGTTGTCAGATTACTACTTGTTAGAATTGTGTCGAATATTATTGTACAAGGTAGGTTATAGTTGGACTTGGTTTTGGACTGTGTGTAAACAGGGTAGGAGTTGTGTCCTAATAGGACACCTGTATCCTAGGCCTCTCATATATAGCGGGGGTAGACACACGATGTAATCTATGCCAACATAATAGCACGGGCATGCGGGGGAAGCCGGCGGCGTGTGCTGGCGCCCGAGCGGCCGGGGTGCGGTATTGTGACGGTGTCATGGGGAGGAGCGCCCGTAGTCATTGCCCCGGGGATGTAGCCATATCGGTGAACCTCGTTAACAAATCTTGGTGTCGTGCCTCGTGTGATTGCTTGGTCCTCGGTAGATCGACGGAACGCCTCAAATTTATTCTAACAAGTGGTATCAGAGTAAGGTTCGAAGAGACTGTGAAAGTTGATCTAGAGGATCTGCCGCAGAGATCGGAAGTTGATCGGCGTGTGGCCGAGAGATTGAAAGTTGCGGCCACGGTGGATAGCAACTGGTTTGATCGGATCGGCGACATGATCAACCAATCTGCGTGGATTGGCAGCAAGGCAATTGGAGAAGCACGTAGATGCGTTAGCGTGGAACTCGTAGGATTTCGATCGGACTGGAGGCTCGGGCGGCGTGTACTTGGGAACGGCGTCTCGTGAGCGATCGTGGCCGAGTTCTCGGCGAGATCGTATCGAGAGAGCAGCAGCGTGCAGATGACTAGGACAGGCGGCCCGGTCCAAGGCGCAGTGCTAGGCAGGCCCAAGGCCGTGGTGTGCCACGTTCCAGGAGCTGGTCTCCAGCGCGACGTGCACGTTGGCATAGCAGCTGGGCGCTGGCAGCAGCCGAGGCGCGCGGGCAAAGGCCCATGTCAGGGTGGAACGCAGCTGGAGCTTGGAGCGCTAGCGATCGAGGCGCAGGCTAGGTGAGCTACCGTGCGTGGAATATGCATGCGTGGGCGTGGCTGATGCTGGAAGTGCAAAGGCACGAGAGATTTGTTAAGGAAAAAGATCGATTCCCTGGAGAGGTGTTGCGGTGTATTGGTACAGGATTCGTTTGGTACCATGTTGATCTCAAGTGTGAAGAAGAATAGAACTAGAAAATTAGTCAAAGAAGTTGTGTTAGGGTGTGGAGCTGAGCTAGTTAATTGTTGAGTGGTTCCTACACGTGCACGGAGACTACAGGGCCTGTTTTTGAGGCTCTTTTCTTGTATGCTAAGGAGATGATGTCATGGCAGCAGCATTGTTGTTCGGTACAGCAATCAAATGGGAGTCGAGGATGGCGCCGTGCGTATAAGTCTTGGAGGAGTCTGAAGCACGCTGTGACAGGATCATGCAAACACAGGGCGTCAAGGCAATGCACCGATGTGCGGGCGGACACGATGCAGGGTGGAGCATGGTTGCAGTCGGATAATTTCGGTTGGGTCGGACTGGACTGTCTGACGGACCGACATGGATGTTGGTCAAAGCAGAAGACGGCGGTGATTTCAGCGACGACGACATAGGAGCATGATGCTGATGGTGGCCGACTTCTGGGGCGTGGAAACACGTGGTGCAGGCCTGAGGGCTTGTGCGGCTTCGACGGACTATGGCGCAGGGTTAATTCAAGGTTGTGTACACATGCGAGCTTGAAGACGACAGGGCGTGGGGTAGCATGGCGCAGCTACATGGAGTCATGTTGAAGGTGGAGCTGAGGTTTGGTGGAAGACTTCACTTTGTGCTGATGGAGGGGCTACGGCGTAAGTCGACAGAGAGTCGAAGCCTATTTCAGTGGGATAGCGAGAGACACGTGGATTGGACTGGGTACCAGTGGTCTGATGGAGACGTGATACTCGGCATCGGTCGATGATGATCGGTGGTTCTCTGCAGTGGGGGTTGAGGCAGTGTGGGCTAGCTACCCGGGAGACTCGACCAGGACAGCAGAGGCTCGACGCGGTGATAGCGGCGAGGCGTGCGGTAAGCACGGGACACAACGACAGACCAAGGCACTAATGGTGAGACATGTTGTCAGACATAGTGTGCAGGGGTGCTGAAGCAGTGTTGACGAGTACCAAATTCAAGTTGGTGACTGGGTCTATCGGTGCTAGTTGATGGACAGGAGTTGACCATGGAGAATCTGAGAAAGTGACAGAGAGTCTGGAATTGTCAAAAGCTGAGAGAGTACATGGCCGTATATTCTGTGGTGTTCAGTGCACATGGCAAAGTGCAGATGAAAAATACAGAAGGAGGCGGAGTGCTATAGCGGTGGGACATGTCAGATACTATCCGGAAGAAGGGTGAGACAACTGCGAATTTGACTCAGGGTGACACAAGGTGACGGTGAAATTCCTTCAAGTTTCAGACAAGCAGTCAAGAAAGAGCGGTGACGTTGAGTTCAGGTAACTCTTATATTTGACGTCCAATATGTGAGTTGTTCATTTTCATGCAGACAGTGGTCGGTGTGTGATGGTATTGAACGGATTCTCCGGAAGTTGGGAGCACAAAGTAGAGTAACGAGGAACTTAATTTTTGCTCGAGTGTTGAATGTGATGAAGACGAGAAGGGACTACAATTGCAGGTGGAGTCACATGGAGTCTGGGAGTAGCAGCGGTGCTCATGGCGTATCTCAAGTCCAATGTACATGGAGGTTTGACACATGGATGAATCCAAGGTGGTGGAGAATATTCGCCAAGGTGGAGTTTGTTAGAATTGTGTCGAATATTATTGTACAAGGTAGGTTACAGTTGGACTTGGTTTTGAACTGTGTGTAAACAGGGTAGGAGTTGTGTCCTAATAGGACACCTGTATCCTAGGCCTCTCATATATAGCGGGGGTAGACACACGATGTAACCTATGCCAACATAATAACGCGGGCACGGGGGGGAGCCGGCGGCGTGTGCCGGCGCCCGAGCGGCCGGGGTGCGGTATTGTGACGGTGTCATGGGGAGGAGCGCCCGTAGTCATTGCCCGGGGATGTAGCCATATCGGTGAACCTCGTTAACAAATTTTGGTGTCGTGTCTCGTGTGATTGCTTGGTCCTCGGTAGATCGACGGAACGCCTTGGATTTATTCTAACACTACTTCGACTCTTAATCGACGGATCGTCTTAGAGAAATTCTCACGGATGAGAGGTATAACTTAGCTGCGGAATCATCATGCTTCACCGGCAGACTACATTGCTTTCCGCTACTCTGCAGATCGGTGAGATTGATCATTACCGGTCATCTTCATAGTATTTCTGAGTGCGCTCATCTAGCATATTTTTGTTGTTGCGTAACACGTTCCCGTACATTGATATTGTTGCTTGACTGTTGTTATATGGGTAGAGCCCATGATTCGGAGTTCACATACACTATGCAAGGAGCATCATCACATTGATGCATAAGACAACGATTCTTCTACAAGACGTAGAGTAGTTTCCTTTGCTAGGACAAGTTTGAACCGACCCGGGCCTTGTAACCCTAACCATGGTCCATAGTCACCTATATAAGGTCTGGCACAGACTCTCTGATAGGTACCTCATAATCCTACTCGTTGTACGCGACACAAATCTTAGTTCTAATACGAGGCTAGATCTATCAATACAGACAAGCAGAAAATGAGTTATTACCTTGATATGGGGGTTTTAAGGTGGATAAATCTCTCCTCGTGTTAGTCTAAAAAAAATCTCTCCCTGTGTGCACCATCCAGATGACCGGCACAATTGTGCCACCCCATACTGAATGCCTCAGGAAAATACAAATACCACGACATAGTACAAAGGCGTTGATGATTAGGGTGAAGTGAAAGGTTGGGTCAGCAGGAACGCTGCTGCTCAGGAGCCAAGTGAGTTTCTGTAATCCAGCTCCATGGCTACGAAACTGCAACGCAAAAATGGAGAAATATTATAAAAATAGAAGCGTAGACGAGCGACCGTGGTACACTGGACGGTTGGATGGAGCTCGGCGTAGCCACGATGCCCATCCGACGGCGGGGACGGAATTGGCGGTTTGGTCGGCTCCCCCGCACATGCTCCTTGCCCGCCAGATTCCCGCCACCGATGGGAATTCCCACACCCACACAACAAATCGATCGTGCGGTGCGGCCAACCCAGCTCATTTCCATGCGGGGCCACGTGAAAACGCTGGCCCAGAGTCAGCGGGCATCCGCTACATGATTTCCCATTATTGTCCACATGGGCAGGCGTGACGGGCGGTCTGGTCGGAAGCAGCCAGGCCGTACTGGTCGGTGGCTTTATTCCACAATATCACGCAAGTTGCTTGGATCTATCGTAGTTTACACACCCCACTTCGCCACTATGCTTGCGGTAGGCAATAAGCAAAGAGCCAAAGATCAGCCGTGGGATTAAAGAATAACATGTGCATGGCACTTGCCACTAACAAATATGATCAAGAGGAACGACTTGCAGGTCAACCGTCCATCCTCTCTATAAAAGGCGGCTCGGCGACGCCTCCGAGCCATTGCCCGGAGGTGATCGGACTGTACGTCTCTCTCTGCTCTAGAGAGCGGCTGTGGCCTCGGCTGGTTTCCCTTTTCGATCCCCCGCCGTCTATCTCTACGTAGTATTTTACATCTTGGTTTCTCGTCTCTGTTTAGTTTCTGTTAGATCCCTTGATCATCTTTTTCGTTTCCTCCGTTGAACATCCTTGCACGATCAGTCTTTTTATGATCAAGTTGCTGGAAAACTTCTGCATGTTGTTTTAGCAGAATTTCCTTCTTGCCTAATCTTGTTTGGCCGTGCGTACACCCTCTCCTAGATTGGATATGGATGATGTTCTCGTCCACCGATCAGCAGGAGGCCACAACTTCCGCCGGAGGTCTGCCGGCGGAGCCGGCCGGAGGGTCGCCCCCATGAGCTCGCCACCGTTGTCTCCGAGCGCCTACGGTTTCTTCCCTTATTCCTCGGCTCCTCCGGGTCCATTTCTATACCCGCCGTATAACTTCTACTCGTGCGGCTCTCTCCCTCCCCTGCCGTTCAACCACCCCGGTCTCCCACCGCGCCCTCCGGCGACCAGGGCCAAGCACGCCACGTTCCCATACCAGCCGTTGACTCCGCCTCCTCGTCCGGCCGCCGTCACCAAGGTCAAACAGACCACGGCGACCGGGATGACGGTGTCGGAGCCGAGGAAGATGCTGGAGGGCAAGAGCAAGAAGCCGAGGACACCGAGGTCCGCAGAGGAGCCTCCGAGGGCGCAGCGGAGGAAGCCGCTGCAGAGGGCGGCGCCCCTGCCCGCGACGTCGGTGGTCACGGAGGCGCTGGACGACCTGGAGCGCGAGGTGACACGGGGCTTCGTGGAGGACCTGCTGCACGCGCTCGCACCGCCCCCCAGCAGCCTGCCCCTGCCCACCTTCTCCCTCGTCAGGGCGGCCGCCACCAAGGTCCCGGCGCCATGCACGGTGTAGCTGGCCCTGGACACCTTCACCGACGTCGAGTCGACAACTGCCTCTGCCGGGTTCATTTTTATTTCATTTTATTTTATGTTTCTTTCTCCAAGTTTTTTTCTTTGGATGGAAGAAACGCTGCCATAAAAGGGATCGATCTAGTTTTAATTTTCGTTCCTTTTTTTTCATTTTCTCCTGGGAGTTGTGAGGTAAATGTAAACCTGAGCAAAAGTCTAGGTTTGCATAGTATTGGTAGTTGAATTCTTGATGTATGAGGCATGCTTTTAATTGCCATGATATATGAAGATCAACATGTTCTTTTCTTTAACCTGGACCAAGAGGTCAACATGTACGTTTGTGTATGCATATCTTCATACGAGCAAACGGGTTGTATATTTATAAGCTGCTCCAGATTTATTTACAATCTCACTTACTATTCTAAGCTTGTGGACCAATATCATCAACATGCTTGTTGGAATTAACCACGACGTGTGGCACGTCCGGCTTGACTTGAGTAAACATCGAGTTGTATCGGAGTGCTCTAACCAATGAACCAGTTGCCCCGTCTTAGAAACCCTAGACAGTCGCCATAGCTACACCCACTCCCCGCCGGCCACGCGTCCCCTACTCCGCATGTCGCTCCGGCGGCGGTAGAGGGTGGAGATCCTGGATCTGCATTGCAGCTCTGTAGTTAGATCTGTTAGGGTTACAGTTTGGTTCCCTGACGGCCAAGGTAGTCCGAATAGTGATTTTGAATCGGATTGGAGCTCCGATAATAGGATAACAAATCGTAGAAACTTAACTATCGGAGTCGTAGACATGTAGATTGTGCTAACAAAGTCGTAGAACTAATGGGGCTAGTTTATAGAAAAAAATATGAACATTTACAATAACAAATTTATATGATGTGAAAATATATGCAATGATGAATCCAGTGATATATATTTGGTGGTGTACTATGTTAATATTTTTTTATAAACTTGTTGAAAGTATATAAAGTTGACTTTAGACAAACATAATATATGGACTAATAAAAACGGAGGGAGTAACATTTTTTCAAGTGGTTAGATGATGAAAGGGCATCGTTTGGGTGGTACAAAAATGCAAGGACAAAGCTACTAAGTGCAATTAAGTTACAGACCAAGATGTTACCAGAGAGGTAGCCTAAGCGAACCACAAGATGGGCCAAATAGCTCACTAACTTACAACAGACTCATGTGCCGAGTTTACAATGAATTATCCAACTTCCTGAAAATGAGTCTCTTTCTGTGGAGTTGGTAGCGCAAGCAAACCACAAAATGGGCCAAACAGCCGAATATCTATTTCTGAGCCCAGGCTCATCTACACCCGGTCAAAAAAAAATTCAAAAAGAAATTGCATGATAGATAATTTGGTGCATGAGGCGCCCTTCAAATTTAAGATCATTTGAACATACGTGTAGCTCTCGGCAAAAAAGACAAATTGGGTCGGAACAGTATATGAACAGTAGAAATTTTTACGAACCCCAAATTTGTCTTTTTCCGAGAGCTACTTAGATATCCAAATGATCTGAAATTTGGGACGCACCTCACGCACCAAATTATCTACCATGCAAAAAATGGATTTTTTCCAGTATTTGTTATAAAAAATTTCTTCAACGGGGTTGCAGATGAGCACCGAATCGCTGCTCTCCCAAACAGCTCATTGGTTTATAACAAACTCATGTATCGAGTTTATGATGAACTATCCAACTTCCCGGAAACACTCTCTCTGTGCGATAGTAACCCAAGCAAACCGCAAAGATGGACACAAACAGCTCATTAATTTACAGCAAACACACATACCGAGTTTATTATGAACTACTTCCTCTGTTCCTAAATGTAAGTCTTTTTAGAGGTTTCACTATAGAGACTACATTCGGATGTATGTAGACATTTTTTAAGTATAGATTCACTCATTTTGCTTCGTATGTAGTCTATAGTGGAATCTTTTAAAAGACTTATATTTAGGAACGAAGGGAGTATCCAACTTCCTGAAAAACGAGTCTCTTTCTGTGCAGTGTTCCTGTTCAAGCACGCCAAACTCGGCAGAGGACGCAGAGCACCGGATGGCGATGCTACGGTCGTGGCTGCCGCTGCTCTGCCACGGGAGCAACGGGACGGACACGCCGGTGCTAAGCAGCAGGGAGAAGGTGGAGATGGTGACCATGCTGGAGGAACTAATCGAGAAGCTTTGGTGGGAGCAGCAGGAGGAGGCCCTGGCGCTGTGGCTGCACCACTTCGCCAGCCCAGAGACTGATGCTCAAGAGCGTGTGCAGTCGATCATGTAACTCACGGTACATCCTCAAAAAAAAAAAATTAACTTCGGTACTAATCATGTATATCAGTGCAGTGGGATCTACATTTTGTTTACTCCTGGACTCCGTTCATACGCAGGCCCGGTGCAAATTTGTAACAACATCTTCAAATACGTGGTGGAACCAACAGATTTTTGCACTTCTGAGTAACAAACTGAACCAAACGGGGTGGGGAAATCACATACCGATGCCAAACAAGTTCATACATGTATCTCATTTAGTGAATCGTCACACTGCGAACATACAAAGGAAACGACCGTGAGCAGTCCCAGCCCAAAACCCTAGTTCTGACATCCTCAACTTTTGAACAGAGGCCATGCATACAATTCTAACATGTCGTGGAAGTGTCGGACACGTCAACCTTTTTCCTCCAAGAATATGTTTGGGCAACAGCTATTCAAGACAAGGTTATAATGGCAACAATACTGGGGGAGGTGCTTATTCTAATGATGATGTTACAATAGCTAGCAAAGCTGGTTACAACAGATTCTTGGTGCTCATATCCTGATCACTCTACTGTACATAATATCCCTGCGGACAAAAAAGTTTACACTTCACCTCAGTTCATTCGTGGAGTTCGTCCTTCCGATAGTGCTTGGTTCTCCGATTGACACAGATGCTAATGATTTGGAGGCCCAGGCAGTGGCATTCCTTGCCCCCTCCTGTAAATTCCCTCGCTTCGAAGGGTATAACCTACTCAATTTCTGTCTTGCTTGCTCGAGGTAGGTGAAGAAATATTCATGCACGCCCATCAAGTTCGCAAACAGAGTATGCCTCCTCCATGCCCATTTTGCTGCAGAAACTATCCTTGGGAATAGAAGATACAGCAACCGCAGGATTACAAAAGAAGCTGCCAGTGCTAGATACGTATCCTGCTGGAGTATATTTTCGGGTGAACGCGCCCACCAGAATGGACAATTTTCCGGTTCAACATCCTTTTTTGGCTCAATTTCATCTAACGGGTGTGGCATGGCCTCCCCAGTGGTTGACTCCACTGATGCACTGATGCCTTCATCACATAAATTGACCGTCAGCAAATCAATTAGAAAAACAGATGCAGCCACAAAAGATATCATAAACACAACAAATTCCAAGTTCAAACTCCAACCACAAGGAGACTCATAGACACTAGTTTGGAACAAAGATGTCTCATACCACAAGATAGGTGGAAAAATACGAACATGTAGCTCAGTTGCTCAATACAATGAAGAACTCTGGTAAGCATGCAAGCAAAACTACAACACACTCCAAAAAAATAGAATACAAAAAAGAATGGAAAAGAAGAAAGAGTCCGTATGCAACAATTTACACACCTGAAACATCACTGTAGAAAGCAGCTAGTGGCTTAACAGTTCGAGGTCCATGGTACCTCACTCGCATTGTTGAATTCAAGAGAAATAGTGTTGGAAAACCATGAATTCCATATCTTGATATTATGCTGCAGTTTCAAATGCAAAGGTTACACTCCATCATAAAACAAACAGTAGTGTATTACACTAAGGAACACATTTTTCTTCAGTCCAAAGGCGGGCATACCTTGGCCTAATTGCAGATTCCTCAAATGCAAAATGGCGAATAGTTGGGAATAAGTGAGCCAACTTCTCGAAATTAGGTTTGCACTCTTGTGAAAACGGGCACCACGAGGCATAGAAAAGTACAGCAATGTACTCATCTTTGTTCAAGTAAAGAAGATTGACTGCCCTCGCCAATGTAGCCTCATCTCCCTATATAATGTTAAAGAAATTTAAGAGTCAGCTTCAATTCTACAAGTACAACAGATGGAATATCCTTGTGCTAATGAAGGAAGGGAGGGACAAACAGGCACTACATCACAATAAAAGAAAAAAATAACAAAATTAGTTAGATATAGTACTAGTTGTCAGATTATTTTTAACTCACTTAAATGTAACGTGGTGCCATGTTAGGGAGAATATGTTTTATGTTCTAATTTTGAGCTCTACATTTTAGGAGAAAAAAACAAAAGACAAGGATGGAAAACTACATCCAAGTTTTTATTTATATTCTTTTTCTCTAAGTCAGACCAACCCCAAGATACAAGATGCGACCAAATTGGAAGAAGCACACAATAGTATCCCTGATTATCTGCAAGTGACATGTCACAAAAAACAGATAATGCAACACACATAGCATAAGCTGCATAACACTTCAGCAGAGTATGTTACTATAGGAACAGGAGTTGCAGGGAATTCCAAACAAATATGAAAGTGGCTTTTTAGGGACATGGCACAAAACCAATTGATACAACATAGTAACACTTTTGGACAACGTGTTATTATAGGAGCACAGGGGGCAGAGGAGGGAATTTCAAACCAAACACAAAGCTGGCTTGGTCCTTTTTTTTTCTCAATGTTGGCAGGAGAGCTGCCGAATCCATTGATTAGAAAGGGGTATTACAAGAACACCCCCAAAGCTGGCTTGGTCCTAAGGAGAAATTTCTCATAGCTTAACGCATATGCAGCTTTTCAGTGCAGGTTGCCAAAATGCATAAACCAATTGACAGGATAGAAGAACCTATCCACACCCTTGACACCATGTATGGACCTAGAAAATCCCTAATTTCACGACCCCCAACTTTCACCCCGTCAATAATCTATTCGCCGCTGTATATTTTATCAAAAAAAAAAAGCGTCGGGATAGCTCACCTCGATGACGCCGACCGGGTCGCCGAGGCGGCGATCCAGCGGCGAGCAGGTGCTGGGAGGCCCGAGCACGGCCTCCGCCGCGGCGGGCACCGGGCACGCCCCGGGATGCGCGGAGGAGAGCCCCGCGGCGGCGAGGAGGAGGAGCAGCAGCAGCAGCGCCGCCCACCGCGGCGACCCCCGGCCCATGGGGCCCTGGCACGGACGCGTCCCCCCGCCCTAGATCCGGGCTCCGGGGGCTCCTCGCATGCGCTGGCCGGCTGGCGCTCGGCGCCGGGGGAGCGCGGCGGCCGCGGGGATTTTCGGTTGCGCTGCGCCGACGGGTGCGGGCGGAGGTTGGTTTGGGCGTGCGGGATTGGGAGCCCTTTGCGTTGTGAGGCCGAGGCGGGTCGCTTTATCGGGTGCGGGCGCCGGGCCGCAGTCCGATCGCGATCGGACGGACGAGATGCCCGGGCGAGCTGGCCCCCGGGACGCGGGATCCGGAGGATGACGTGCGGGGCCCGCCACGCGGTGACGGGGTTGGTCTCGCAGCCCCGCGGCATGGTGACGCGATATTTATGAATACGCGCCTACACCCACAGAATCGATCACGACACACGTGGACCTATGAAGAAGGCCGCGGTGGGCCCGCAATGACCCGTCACTATGGGACCACCCTGTCAGTGAGATATTGTCGTCTTTTAGGCTGGTCATAGTGGGGAGTAACTTAGACCAGTAACATACATATATTACTAGTCTATGTTATCACCTTCGTAATGGGTAGTAAGATATGGATGATAACATGCAAGCCTTCATTATACTGTAGACTCATATTACCTCGAGGTGTGTTATGTTAAATTAGTAACATATTATGTTACCACAAGTATCTCTCTCCTCATTAACTCTATGTCACATAAACAAATTTGTTTTGAAATGTGTTATGTTACTCACCTAAGTTACTTCCACTATGACTAGCCTTAAAAGAAAAGGTCTTTGACGCAGAAGGTTTGCTTTGGGTCAGTGTCACGGATAATTGGACGTAGGAGAATATATGTATGCGCAACTTGCTGCCGCTACTCTCGTCTTATGGCAAAACTTGTGGAGAACAAAAATTGATTTGCTCCGGCATCGACCCCAAAAGGAATATTACCTTTTCTGTTGGTGCACAAAAGAATCCTATCGTTGGGTCTATAAACTGCAACGGACCGGATTGACTTGCTTATTAAGATTTCGTACTGCCAGTACCAGATGGTGGATGGAATATTTCGTTGCGCCTGCGGGTGGAGCCGAACCCTGCGAGAGGCTGTGACCGAGTGCGTGAGTGAGCGGATGGGCCAATCATCTCCGGCCTCAGACGGCCCGGGCCCGTCACTGTCACCACACTCGCGAACAA